ATGCAAGGTTCTGAAGTTTGGGAGTGCCCATAACCCTAGTACTTATAAGTTAAATGATGCAGAACTTAGCCATACAGATTGCGAAAAGGACTTGGGGGTTATGGTGAGTAGCAACCTTAAACCAAGACAGCAATGCCTAAGCGTACGTAATAAGGCAAATAGATTACTGGGATTTATATCAAGAAGTGTAAGCAACAGATGTCCAGAGGTCATACTGCAGCTTTATACATCATTAGTAAGGCCTCACCTAGATTATGCAGCTCAGTTCTGGTCTCCGTATTACAAAATGGACATAAATTCGTTAGAAAACATTCAGCGTAGGATGACTAAATTAATACATAGCATTAGAAATCTTCCTTATGAAGAAAGATTGAAGACTCTTAAGTTACATTCACTTGTTAGACGAAGAATGAGTGGAGACCTGATCGAAGTGTATAAGTGGAAGATAGGTATTAATAAAAGGGATATTAATAAGGTCTTGAGGATGTCTCTCCAAGAGAGAACCCGCAGTAATGGATTTAAATTAGATAAGTTTAGATTTAGCAAGGACATAGGAAAGTATTGGTTTGGAAATAGGGTAGTTGATGAGTGGAACAGTCTACCTAGTTGGGTTATTGAGGCTGGGACTTTGGGTAGTTTCAAATCTAGGTTGGATAAGTACATGAGTGGGAGGGGTTGGATTTGAGTGGGACTTTCACATCAGAGCTTATTTCTTGGGTGGCACTGAAAATTGGGTTGGGCAAATGTTTTGTTAGTGGGATGAATTGTAAAGGACCTGCCTAGTATGGGCCAGCAGGCCTGCTGCAGCGTTCCTCCTTTCTTATGTTCTTATGTAATATTTTGAGGAACTTTTAAATGTTGAGGAAGAAAGGGAGGCGGTAATTTCATGCACTGGCCAGGGAGGTATACCATCTTTTAGGAGTGAAGAAGAGCAGAATGTAAGTGTGGTGGAGGTACGTGAGGCATTACGTAGAATGAAAGGGGGTAAAGCAGCTGGAACTGATGGGATCATGACAGAAATGTTAAAAGCAGGGGGGGATATAGTGTTGGAGTGGTTGGTACTTTTGTTTAATAAATGTATGAAAGAGGGGAAGGTACCTAGGGATTGGCGGAGAGCATGTTTAGTCCTTTATATAAAGGGAAAGGGGACAAAAGGGATTGTAAAAATTATAGAGGAATAAGTTTACTGAGTATACCAGGAAAAGTATACGGAAGGGTTATAATTGAAAGAATTAGAGGTAAGACAGAATGTAGGATTACGGATGAGCAGGGAGGCTTCAGAGTGGTAGGGGATGTCTAGATCAAGTGTTTACATTGAAGCATATATGTGAACAGTATTTAGATAAAGGTAGGGAAGTTTTTATTGCATTTATGGATTTAGAAAAGGCATATGATAGAGTGGATAGAGGAGCAATATGGCAGATGTTGCAAGTATATGGAATAGGTGGTAAGTTACTAAATGCTGTAAAGAGCTTTTATGAGGATAGTGAGGCTCAGGTTAGGGTGTGTAGAAGAGAGGGAGAATACTTCCCCATAAAAGTAGGTCTTAGACAGGGATGTGTAATGTCACCATGGTTGTTTAATATATTTATAGATGGGGTTGTAAAAGAAGTAAATGCTAGGGTGTTTGGGAGAGGGGTGGGATTAAATTATGGGGAATCAAATTCAAAATGGGAATTGACACAGTTACTTTTTGCTGATGATACTGTGCTTATGAGAGATTCTAAAGAAAAATTGCAAAGGTTAGTGGATGAGTTTGAGAATGTGTGTAAAGGTAGAAAGTTGAAAGTGAACATAGAAAAGAGTAAGGTGATGAGGGTATCAAATGATTTAGATAAAGAAAAATTGGATATCAAATAGGGAAGGAGGAGTATGGAAGAAGTGAATGTTTTCAGATACTTGGGAGTTGACGTTTCGGCGGATGGATTTATGAAGGATGAGGTTAATCATAGAATTGATGAGGGAAAAAAGGTGAGTGGTGCGTTGGGGTATATGTGGAGCCAAAAAACATTATCTATGGAGGCAAAGAAGGGAATGTATGAAAGTATAGTAGTACCAACACTCTTACATGGATGTGAAGCTTGGGTGGTAAATGCAGCAGCGAGGAGACGGTTGGAGGCAGTGGAGATGTCCTGTCTAAGGGCAATGTGTGGTGTAAATATTATGCAGAAAATTCGGAGTGTGGAAATTAGGAGGTGTGGAGTTAATAAAAGCATTAGTCAGAGGGCAGAAGAGGGGTTGTTGAGGTGGTTTGGTCATTTAGAGAGAATGGATCAAAGTAGAATGACATGGAAAGCATATAAATCTATAGGGGAAGGAAGGAGGGGTAGGGGTCGTCCTCGAAAGGGTTGGAAAGAGGGGGTAAAGGAGGTTTTGTGTGCTAGGGGCTTGGACTTCCAGCAAGCGTGCATGAGCGTGTTAGATAGGAGTGAATGGAGGCGAATGATACTTGGGACCTGACGATCTGTTGGAGTGTGAGCAGGGTAATATTAGTGAAGGGATTCAGGGAAACCGGTTATGTTCATATAGTCGGACTTGAGTCCTGGAAATGGGAAGTACAATGCCTGCACTTTAAAGGAGGGGTTTGGGATATTGGCAGTTTGGAGGGATGTGTTGTGTATCTTTATACGTATATGCTTCTAAACTGTTGTATTCTGAGCACCTCTGCAAAAGCAGTGATAATGTGTGAGTGTGGTGAAAGTGTTGAATGATGATGAAAGTATTTTCTTTTTTGGGGATTTTCTTTCTTTTTTGGGTCACCCTGCCTCGGTGGGAGACGGCCGACTTGTTGAATCTATATATATATATATATATATATATATATATATATATATATATATATATATATATATATTATATATATATATATATATATATATATATGTATATATATGTCGTGCTGAATATGTAAAACTGATCAATTAGCAAGAACTCATTTAAAATTAAGTCCTTTCTAAGATTTTCTCTTATACTTTAAAAGATATATTTTTTTTCATTAATGTTGATGTAAAAATTTATAATTTTGCACCAAAAGGAACTTAGAAAACTTACTTAACCTTATTATAACAAGCGAATTTTAATTTAGTCTAATCCTACTAAATATATTTTTGCTTGAGGCTCACTGACGTGCCCGGGCTGGGAAAAAAACATGGCTTGTGAACCAGGCTGCCCAGTCTATGGGGCATTTCTGTGGCCGAGTGGACTACAGCGTTGCATGGGAATCTTGACCATCCCAAGTAGTAGTATCGAATCTTGCTGACTGCGATCTTTCTTTTCTTCGTGTGTGTTTTATATATATATATATATATTATATATATATATATATATATATTATATATATATATATATATATATATATATATATATATATATATATATATATGCAAGACAAGTCACGTGGGGTGGAAATCTTTAGCTCAAGTACTTTCACATTCCTCAGTGCGTCATCAAGAGCTATACAGTGTTACAAGGCAACAACTGAATGAGGGGAAGTTTTTTCAGGGTAGCTCAGTGTGGGTCTGTCACCTGTCATAGTCTCTCTCAGAATGTCGCATTGTTGTTATTGATTAAATACCACTTGTTTGTAGTTAAAATACTATATATATATATATATATATATATATATATATATATATATATATATATATATATATATTATATAATATATATATATATTTATATATATATTTATATTAATATATATAAAATATATATATATATATATTATATATATATATATATATATATATATATATATATAATATATATATATATATATATATATATAAATATATAATATATATATATATATATATATATATAATATATATATATTATATATATATATATATATATATATATATATATATATATATATATAATAATATGCAAAACAACCACGCTGAAAGAATAGAGAAATTCCAAGCGCTTTCGTGACTACTCACATTATCAAGGAACATAGTTCCTTGATAATGTGAGTAGTCACGAAAGCGCTTGGAATTTCTCTATTCTTTCAGAGTGGTTGTTTTGCATATTCTGAAATCACCTGTTTACTGTGATCTTATTGCATATATATATATATATATATATATATATATATATATATATATATATATATATATATATGATATATATATTATATATATATATATATATATATATATTATATATATATATATATATATATATATATATATATATATATATATATATATATATATATATATATATATATATATATATATATATATATAAATTAATATTGTAAACGTATCTAAAATGTATTTAGTTGGATTGGGCTAAATTAAATTGCGCTTGTTATAATAAGGTTAGGTAAGTTTCTAGGTTCTTTCGGTACAAATTATTAATTTTTACATTATCATAAATAAAAAAAATATACCTTTGAACGTATAAGAGAAAATTTTAGAAAGGACTTAGTTTTAAATGAGTTCTTGCTAATTGATCCCATGAAACAGAAATCTTTATGAGGATAGACTGAGGGCCCTGAATCTGCACTCTCTAGAAAGACATAAAATTAGGGGTGGGATATGACTGAGGTGTATAAATGGAAAACAGGAATTAATGAAGGGGATGTGATTAGCATGCTAAAAATATCATGCATGCACCGAACTCGCAGCACTGGTTTTAAGTTGGAAAAATTCAGATTCAGGAAGGATATAAGACAGCATTGGTTTGGTAATAGAGTTGTGGATGATCGGAACAAACCCCCGAATACCGTCGTAGATAGGTTAGATAAATACATGAGTGGGTGTGGGTGAGTGTGAGTTTGACCTGACTAGCTTGTGCTACTAGGTCAGATGCCATGCTCCTCACTTAAATGAAATGTGACTGACCTGACTAGGTTAAGGCATTAGTTTAAACCGATGGAAGAACTGAACCTGCCTCACATAGGCCAGTAGGGCTGCTGCAGTGTTCCTTCTTTCTTATATTCTTATATATAATTAGGATCAATAATAATGTATAGTTATTTCTTTTGGCAGGAAGATACATGTTCTGCAGGTCTGTGTTGCTTGGCGCTGGTTTCGACCATGGTTACGACGGATGAAGAACGTTGTTGTAGACTTCAGCGTTGAGACGGGCGACGCCATGTCGGTATACTACCAGCAGATGCGAACTCCCTACAATATTTCTCAGGGACCACTGTGGAGGGCGAGCTTGGTTCCCCAGCCACAGGCAGCTGGTGACCGTCACCAGGCCGTCCTGGTTCTCACCTTACATCACATCATCATTGACGGCCTTACCAATATGATCATCTCCCGTGACTTTATGGAGGTGCTGAACGCCATCATGACTGGACGGGGCCACAACACCCCCACACGCCATAACATTCCAGCCATTGTTGACGAACTTTTCAGCATGAGAGACTGTATTTGGTGCCTTAAGTTTCTCTCGTCTGTAGCGTACAAAACAATCAAGAGTATGCTCAGTGATAGATGCTACAGTATTAGTCTTCCTCGGCCAAACACAAAGGTAGCACATACAAATGTGTTGCGTAAAGACTTCTCAGCAGAGACGACTCAAGAGCTTTTGCGTCACTGCAAGGAAGCAAAAGTTAGCGTTCACTCTAGTATAGTGGCTGCAGCTTACCTAGCGCTTCTACGCACCGCTCAGAAATATTCAAAAGAAACTTTAGACTCACTGAGGATCACTTATGATAACGCTGTAAACATGCGTCGCTACTACCCAAGTGTTTACAGTGAGTCTGTTGGTTTTCACTCATGCTTGACCAAACATGAATACGTTGTCTGCAGTAGTGACGCAGAAAGCAAAGATAATTTCTGGAGTCTAGCAAGACGTATGCATGACGACCTCCAACACAATCTTTGTGTCAGTAAGACACCTATTCGTATTTCTCCACTCTCTTTGGTACTCTCTGCTATTAACCCAGTAAATTACTTGCTAACTCGCCTGGGATGTAGAAACTTGGTTAACACAAACATGACGTGCACTAACATGGGCAATCTGAAGCAAATATTGCCTGGTAAATACGGGGATGGGCCTGTGGAGATCACCAGTCTTCTTCGATCCACGGCATCAGAGTTATGTGGATGTCCTTTCTTGGTCGTCTTCCAGACCTTTGAAGGACGGTTGTTGTTGTCTCTGGACCATTACGTAAATAATATTACTGAGGAGGTCGCCAATATGTTCTTTTTATATTTAACCCATTATATTGATGACATAGCTCACAATGGCACCATCAAGAACTACTGAGTTGTATATATTTTGGGATAAATAAGAAAAATGTTTAAATATATTTTGGTTTCCATGTGATCGAGCAAATTATCCCTTGTCCCAATAACCCCTGCCAATAAACTTCAAGACATTAGTTTGAATTACATTTGTATAGAGTGGTCTTCCTCTCTCTCTTCCCGTCATCACATACGCACCTATGGCTCCGCATCTCCAGATTGAGACACCTGTTTTTCCCGAGTGACAGCCAAGAACACTTGCTAGACAAACCCAGTATTTCCAAAATCAATTACATTAGCTTCTTACCGCCATCATACTCAAAGCTACCATGCCCACCTGCCAGTTTACTGTGGTTTCAGACTCCTAACATTTGATATGTGTGCGTGAGTGAAGAAGTTAATTTCTGTAGTTTAAGAATGAGTCGTAAGAGGTAGGAGTGAGTTGCAGGGATATAGGAGTAAGGAGTTGTAGGATATGGAATATAGGAACGAGTTGTAGGGATATGAGAGTGATTTGAAGGAACGTGGGAGTGTTGTAGTTTTATAGGAGTTGAAGACCGTGGAATCGAGTTTTAAATGTGAGTGAATTTCCAGAGGTATGAGAGTGAACTGTCGAGATGTGTTGTGGAAGTGTGGTAGAAAGTTTTTGGGGTGGCGATGTGTATGAATGAATTTCAGATATAAATGCTTTCAAATGAGCTGATGTAGGTAACAGCTCTTAGCTTGCCAATAAAGTTAGGAATCCTTAACCTGTAAATAGCTTGTCAATAAAGTTAGGGATCCTTAACCTTGTCAAACCCTGTGTAAAAAAAAAAAAAAAAAAAAAAAAAAGAGAGAGAGAGAGAGAGAGAGAGAGAGAGAGAGAGAGAGAGAGAGAGAGAGAGAGAGAGAGAGGGGAGAGAGAGAGAGAGAGAGAGAGAGAGAGAGAGAGAGAGAGAGAGAGAAGAAGAGAGAGAGAGAGAGAGAGAGAGAGAGAGAGAGAGAGAGAGAGAGAGAGAGAGGAGAGGAGAGATTGAGCGAATGAGCCAGGGTATGAATGTGTACTCAACAAGCTGGTTTTTGTAGTGGTCGAGATTCAGCTTTTGGCTCTTGCCCGAGCTCCTGAGTGTGTGTGTGTGTGTGTGTGTGTGTGTGTGTGTGTGTGTACTCACCTAGTTGAGGTTGCGGGGGTCGAGTCCGAGCTCCTGGCCCCGCCTCTTCACTGATCGCTACTAGGTCATTCTCCCTGAGCCGTGAGCTTTATCATACCTCTGCTTAAAGCTATGTATGGATCCTGCCTCCACTACATCGCTTCCCAAACTATTCCACTTACTGACTACTCTGTGGCTGAAGAAATACTTCCTAACATCCCTGTGATTCATCTGCGTCTTCAATTTCCAACTGTGTCCCCTTGTTACTGTGTCCAATCTCTGGAACATCCTGTCTTTGTCCACCTTGTCAATTCCTCTCAGTATTTTGTATGTCGTTATCATGTCCCCCCTATCTCTCCTGTCCTCCAGTGTCGTCAGGTTGATTTCCCTTAACCTCTCTCGTAGGACATACCTCTTAGCTCTGGGACTAGTCTTGTTGCAAACCTTTGCACTTTCTCTAGTATCTTTACGTGCTTGGCTAGGTGTGGGTTCCAAACTGGTGCCGCATACTCCAATATGGGCCTAACGTACACGGTGTACAGGGTCCTGAATGATTCCTTATTAAGATGTCGGAATGCTGTTCTGAGGTTTGCTAGGCGCCCATATGCTGCAGCAGTTATTTGGTTGATGTGCGCTTCAGGAGATGTGCCTGGTGTTATACTCACCCCAAGATCTTTTTCCTTGAGTGAGGTTTGTAGTCTCTGGCCCCCTAGACTGTACTCCGTCTCCGGTCTTCTTTGCCCTTCCCAAATCTTCATGACTTTGCACTTGGTGGGATTGAACTCCAGGAGCCAATTGCTGGACCAGGTCTGCAGCCTGTCCAGATCCCTTTGTAGTTCTGCCTGGTCTTAGATCGAGTGAATTCTTCTCATCAACTTCACGTCATCTGCAAACAGGGACACCTCAGAGTCTATTCCTTCCGTCATGTCGTTCACAAATACCAGAAACAGCACTGGTCCTAGGACTGACCCCTGTGGGACCCGGCTGGTCACAGGTGCCCACTCTCACACCTCGCCACGTACCATGACTCGCTGCTGTCTTCCTGACAAGTATTCCCTGATCCATTGTAGTGCCTTCCCTGTTATCCCTGCTAGGTCCTCCAGTTTTTGCACCAATCTCTTGTGTGGAACTGTGTCAAACGCCTTCTTGCAGTCCAAGAATATGCAATCCACCCACCCCTCTCTCTCTTGTCTTACTGCTGTCACCATGTCATAGAACTCCAGTAGGTTTGTGACACAGGATTTCCCATCCCTGAAACCATGTTGGCTGCTGTTGATGAGATCGTCCCTTTCTAGGTGTTCCACCACTCTTCTCCTGATAATCTTGTCCATGATTTTGCATACTATACATGTCAGTGACACTGGTCTGTAGTTTAATGCTTCATGTCTGTCTCCTTTTTTAAAGATTGGGACTACATTTGCTGTCTTCCATGCCTCAGGCAATCTCCCTGTTTCGATAGATGTATTGAATATTGTTGTTAGGGGTACACATAGCGCCTCTGCTCCCTCTCTCAATACCCATGGGGAGATGTTATCTGGCCCCATTGCCTTTGAGGTATCTAGCTCACTCAGAAGCCTCTTCACTTCTTCCTCGGTTGTGTGCACTGTGTCCAGCACATGGTGGTGTGCCCCACCTCTCCGTCTTTCTGGAGCCCCTTCTGTCTCCTCTGTGAACACTTCTTTGAATCTCTTGTTGAGTTCCTCACATACTTCACGGTCATTTCTTGTTGTCTCTCCTCCTTCCTTCCTTAGCCTGATTACCTGGTCCTTGACTGTTATTTTCCTCCTGATGTGGCTGTACAACAGTTTCGGGTCAGATTTGGCTTTCGCTGCTATGTCATTTTCATATTGTCTTTGGGCCTCCCTTCTTATCTGTGCATATTCGTTTCTGGCTCTACGACTGCTCTCCTTATTCTCCTGGGTCCTTTGCCTTCTATATTTCTTCCATTCCCTAGCACACTTGGTTTTTGCCTCCCTGCACCTTTGGGTAAACCATGGGCTCATCCTGGCTTTTTCATTATTCCTGTTACCCTTGGGTACAAACCTCTCCTCAGCCTCCTTTCATTTTGTTGCTACATATTCCATCATCTCATTAACTGGCTTCCATGCCAGTTCTCTGTCCCACTGAACCCCGTTCAGGAAGTTCCTCATTCCTGTGTAGTCCCCTTTCTTGTAGTTTGGCTTCATTCATCCTGGCCTTCCTGCTTCTCCCTCCACTTGTAGCTCTACTGTGTATTCGAAGCTTAAAACCACATGGTCACTGGCCCCAAGGGGTCTTTCATATGTGATGTCCTCAATATCTGCACTACTCAAGGTGAATACTAAGTCCAGCCTTGCTGGTTCATCCTCTCCTCTCTCTCTTGTAGTGTCCCTTACGTGTTGGTACATGAAGTTTTCCAGTACCACCTCCATCATCTTAGCCCTCCATGTATCTTGGCCCCCATGTGGGTCCAAGTTCTCCCAATCGATCTCCTTGTGGTTAAAGTCACCCATGATCAGGAGCTTTGCCCTGCATGCATGAGCTCTTCTGGCCACTCTAGCCAGTGTGTCAACCATCGCTCTATTGTTCTCGTCGTACTCTTGCCTTGGCCTCCTGCTGTTTTGTGGTGGGTTATACATCACTGCTATTACCACCTTGGGACCTCCAGAGTGAAGCGTTCCCGCTATGTAATCACTTTCTTCTCTGCTGTCTAATCTCTCCAGCTCATCAAAATTCCAGCGATTTTTGATCAGCAATGCCACTCCTCCACCCCCCCTGTTCCCTCTGTCTTTCCTCAGGATTTGGTATCCCGTTGGAAAGATGGCATCTGTTATCATACCTGTAAGCTTGGTTTCTGTCAGAGCTATGATGTCCAGTGATGCCTCTTTGACTCTTTCATGCCACTCCTCCCACTTATTTGTTATTCCATCAGCGTTTGTGTACCATACCTTCAGTTTCCTTTCCAACACTGTGGTTTGGGGGGCCTGTGAGGGTGGGAGACCTGGTAGGATACTGTGGGATTCCATAGCTCGGTGTTGGGTGGAGGCTGTGGGCATGGACTGTAGTGTGTGTTGGGATGGTGTGATAGGTTGTATGGTTCTGAGAATAGTTGTGTGTGCTTGCCCTTGCTGTTCTGTTCTGCTCTGACTGACCTCTGCTGGTTCCATCCTTGTCTCTTTTCCTAGCTCCTCTCCCTCAGCTGCTGTCGTTCTGATTGTGTTCTGTCTCTGTCTAGGAACACCCTCTTGTACTCTTCCGAGTATTTCAATCGTGGTTTCTCTTGGAGGATCCTGTTCCGCACTGTTTCCGTCCTGAGAATCAGCTTGATTGGTCGGTTTCTCCCCTTCGAGTACCCCCATATTCTCTGAAAATTTACAATCTCGTCCATCTCTTCACCTATTTCCGTGATGATTTTCTCAATCTCCTTTCTTTCTTCCTGCTGCCTTTCAGTGTGTGTCCTTTCCTCTCTCTCCTGAAGCCCATGGATAAACACTGATTTTGCCCTTTCTCCTCCCATTGCCTCACCCTCTGAGACTCTGGATCCTGCCTGTATGTGGTCAGTTTCTCCCTTGATTTTTCCAGTGTGTGTGTGTGTGTGTGTGTGTGTGTGTGTGTGTGTGTGTGTGTGTGTATGTGTGTGTGTGTGTGTGTGTGTGTGTGTGTGTGTGTGTGTGTGTGTGTGTGTGTGTGTGTGTGTGTGTGTGTGTGTGTGTGGTGTGTGTGTGTGTGCTATTTTTGTGAACGTACAAGAGCCTGGGTTTTATCAAGTATAAAAATACAGTGTTTGTGTACCTAAGTCGGACCACCTCCCAGATGTCCAACTGCGATATAAACAAAATAATTTCATATACTAATGGTATACAATATCTACAAGTTGATGAATAAGACACATATATGCAACACTTATCAGCCACAAAGATACAGAAGTGTTGCACATGCATCTTATCCATCGTAAGGGAATCTGACAACAACAAAGATGGCGACAATAACACAAAGGATATCCATTTTTTCAGCCTCCTGCTGAGGTCCTCCTCAGTAGGCTGAGGTCATAAACATTAATTTGCAGGGAATGTTAGGAGTGTGTCGTTCTGACTGCGTACACTCAAGCTGATTACTGGTTTAATGGAGAAGCGTTAAACCCTAAGGAATTATATAACTAATTAGAATAAGAGAAATCAGTGTTGCGCATAGTTACATAAGCACTAAATTAGCAATTTAGGCATAGTGTAACTATGCCTAAACTGCTAATCAACAGAATATTACTCATTCTGCACACCGCTATAACATAATGTGTCTTCCCAACCCATTAGGCATCTTTCGCAAATCAGAAACTACATATGTTTGAAGAGATATATTAAAAATATTAGTTAATGGTTCACAAAGTTCCATTTTGAACTCCTTAGGAACCCTTGAAAAAAATCAACATGACTGTGATATTGTATAATTTGTTTTCTTTAGGCCTATTATAAAAATTAATTACTGGAACATGGTTAGTGTTTTCTTGTGTGAAAACCGAGAGGAAATAATTATTAAAAATCGAGCACATTTCATTCTCCTTGTCAGTAAGATGCCCAGAGTTATTTTTATGAGGACCTAACTTTTCTGTAACTTTTCTTCTACATACCTGGAAAAAGCGTTTCGGGTTGGTTTTCGAATTATTTGCCACATTAATTTTATAGTCCCATTT